ATCTTGACATCGCTATTTGATTGAAAACAGGCATCTCAAACTTACTGTGTCCCAGACTCACCTCTGATCCCCAAACCTCCATCCCCATGGCCCCTGCAGCCTCCGGCTCCGTTCTGACTCACTTGCTCACCCACCAGCTTGTTTTCAGCTTCTTTTTTGCACCTTACTCGGCACATCCTATTCCCCATACCTCCACATGGATCCGTATTGTGAAGATTTCCCTCCCTCAGCTCCATGACTGCCAGTTTGGTTCCCCACCACCGTCATTTCCTGCCTGGATGATGACATTGAACTTGTAGCTGTCTTCTGATTTGGCCCCTGCTCCGCTTCAGGCTGCTCTCAACACAGCAGCGAGAATGGTCTTGTCTGAACTATCAGCTCCCTTGAAATCCTCTCCCTTAAAGTCCTAACAATGGCCCCCAAGGGCCCCTCACCTCTTGGCCTCCACTCTCCCCCCTCCCCCTGCCTGTTTCTAGAACGCCCAGGCAGTCTCCCATGCCAGGCCCAGGCACTTTCTGTTGTCTGTGCTTAGAACATTCTTGTCGCCTCCTTCAAGTTTTTCTTCATGTTTCACTGTCTCAGGGAGGCCTTCCCTGATGGAGCAATTTTAAAATTACAGTACTTCCCCCTTCCATCCTATGTTGTTTTTTTCCATTTTATTTATCACTATCTCATACGCAATATAATTTGTTTGTTTGTTTCTCTCTGCTAAAAAAACTCAGCTCCACCAATGTAGAGATTTTTCTTTTGCTCACATTGTATTCCTAGCTCCTAGATCAGTCACTTAGTAACTGCTCCGTAAATACTTGTTGCATGGGAGAAGAAATGAGTGTGTGAGAAGTAAGTTGGTTTCAGGGGGTTGAAAGAGAAGGTCTGGGTGCTGATAGCCTGAACTTGGCACTTGACCTTCTCCTGCTCTCCTAGGAAAACCCTGGGGCATGTTATGGCGTGTGAGCAGTCGGAGACCCTGGGCCCGGGGGCCTAAGACTGTGAATAAGGCGGAGCTGCATCCCGACTTCTGAGTTAAACTGCGATTTTGGTTTTGTCCCTTCTCTGTGCTAGTGAGTCTCTGTCTGCGACAGAGGACAGAACGGCCACCATTCTCAGTGTCATCACTGTCATCTGAGCATCTTTACGCAGACATGGAGAAGACCGGTGACTGTCATCATGCTCACGTGCACCTTTGTGTTCAGCCTGGCTTTCTGCTCCATCCAGGCCCCTTTGGCCACTGGCCTGGGAGCACCGGAGCTCCACGGGCAGGCGCACAACACGTGCGCGCACACACTCACACTCACACGCTCACACACATCGTCTTGCCTTCCCTGCCTGGAGATCTTCAAAGGGGTTTTCTTAGTACGGAAAACGAAATGTAATCGACTCTTGAACAACAAATGTTTCAACTATGTGGGGCCATTTGTGTGTGTGTGTGTGTATTTCTTTCTTTCTTTGTATTTATTTATTTATTTATGTAATCCTCACCTGAGGATATGTTTGTTGAATTGTTAGAAAGTGGAGGGGAGAGAGAGAGAGAGAGAATGAGAGAGAGAGAGAGGGAGAGAAATATCAGTTGCCTACAACCAGCTTGCACCCCGACCGGTCAACAACCCGCAGCTTAGGTCTGTGCCCTGACTGGAAATCCAACTGCCACCTTTTGGTGTCCAGGATGAGGCTCCAACAAACTGAGCCACCTGGCCAGGGTGTTTTTTTTTCCAATAAATATATTGAATATTATTTTGGAGATTTGCAACGATTAGAAAATACTCAGATGAACTTTATGATTCCCTTACTAACATTTTTTCTAGATTATTTTATTGTAGGAACACCATATATAATACACATAACATACATGCATATATACATATAACACACACATACCATAACACATATAAAATATGTGTTAATCGACTATGTTATCAGTAAGGCTTCCTGTCAACAGTAGGCTACTAGCGGTTAAGTTTTTGGGGAATCAGAATTTTTATGTTGTTGGCATAAGAAATATTCTAACCTGTACCCAATTTTATGAGTTTATTTGAGCCAAACTGATGACACTCACCAGGAAGTAAAATCTCAACAGATTGGAAAAATGCTCCAGAAAATGGCAGTTTTACCACTTATTTTATTTGTCAGAATCAAAGAGGGAGATAAAAGGGGGTTCTGTGAAACCCGTTGGTGGTAGATTACGGAGGCAGGAGAAAGCAAAGTGGGGAAATCTCTGAGATGGACACAGAGTAAAATGGATAGACACATTCTTGTTTTGCATTGGTGGGTATGAGACAGTTAACAGTTACCCTTTACGGCACTCGGAGACGGTGTGGGGCAGAGCAAGATCACAGTGAGGGGTTCTGTGGTCTTGTGTTCTGGCGGGAGATTGTGCCCTGAAGGGTCTGGGAAAAGGGGTTTACTCTGACATTCCAAAGGCGTATTATACTCAGGCATTCCGAAGGTATGTTATCATAGATGTAAAAAGATAATAGGCTCAGGCAAGGTAAAGATTGACCTTTGTCAAGGAAGATACCGGCCTAGGACGTGACTACCCCTCATGACTCGCTTTTAGTTAGCAAGTTTTCATTTCAGACCATCCTACCTGGTACTGTGAGTCTAAGGCCCGCTATGCAGACCTCCCCTGAGTTTGTGAGGGTTAGTACGCGGCCTCTTTTCCGTCCACAATGCGGATTTCGATTGTGTGTGTGTGTGTGTGTGTGTGTGTGTGTGTGTGTTGGTGCCCTTAACTCCCACATTGTTCAAGGGTCAACTGTATTTCTCCCTCCCAACTTTCCTTTGTCAATATACAAAATGGAGCTGCAAGATACCGTATGTCCTCCATGTACAATAAAGTCCTTTTACAACTATTTTCAGATTATCCCTTTTTCCTGCCATCACCGCGACCTAAAATAGCTTGCTTAACTGGGTAATGTCACCACCACATTAGGACAATTTTGTGACCTACTGGCATCCCTCCTTCCTGTTGCAGCTCAGCCTTCATGTTATAGTAAGCATGCACATTATACAAATTACATTTAATGTATTATACTTCATAGAGCCTTACTTAGCTGTCTACTCTTTTACCCTTTCCCAACTGGAACTCTCAGCATTAGTGCTACTCGGTGCAACCACTCTGCCAAGACGTTCATTCCCATCTCAACTGCCACCACCCCCACCTTCCCCCTCCCCCGGCTCCCAGCCCACTCAACCTACATCTCACGCTTTCTTCAAGGTCCAGCTAAAATTTCCTTTTCCAAGAATTTTTTTTGGGGGAACATCTTGATCCCACATCATCCCTTGATTCTAAATGCCTTAGAAATTCATGATGTTTCACACTGTGCTGGATTTGTTTAGATATTGCTTTCTGGTAATTCCTGCTAATTTCCTTGATATTTCTTTTAAAAGATGCCCATGTTGTTTTAATATTTAATATAAGAGCAGATAAAAATCAGCAGTTTGAGAAGTAACTTAGGGATAAGCAGTTGACTTTGGAGATTTAAATTGCTGGTTAAAAATTAAGCGTTAACTACTGGTGTAGGTGGAAACCTTTTACTGTGGAATATGAAGGTATTGGTGATTGTTGTCACATTATTTTATAGTCATGTCTCAGATGCATAATCCTCTTTTGCATTCTTATCATTTATTCCTAACTGTGCTTTTATTTGGGCACATGATTGTTTTTAGTTTACGTTTTGGCTTTCCTCCACATACATTTCCGATGTTGGATTTGTTCATAGTATGTGTGTGGAATGGAATGGCGGTTTTGGACAGGTGGGGAAGTTATGGGCTACATCAAATGAATTGTAGTTTATTAAAAACTCTGTCATTTAAAAATGTAATTAGAATATAAAAAGCAGGATTTCTGTAGGGTTTTAACGCAACAGTTCGTTGACCATGTTTTCCCCAGTCTGAACGCTCAAAGTGGGATCCCAGGTTTCATGGGTGAGTGGTTATTTTGCCCTGTAGCTGCATCCTATTAAATATAAAGCCGGAATAACCTTAACCTCAATGCCAGGTTAGACAAAAAGGGAGATTGCATCCTAAGAGAAATAGTCTTAATTCCTCTGGATTGAGACAAGTTTACCCCAATATCACTTCTAAGTAATTGAAAACTTGTAACCATCTTAACACTTTCCAGGGGCGTTACCATGAGGCCAGTGAACCACATTTATTCTGGATAAATGATTTTTAACGTGGACACGTGCTTGGAATTACAAACAGTGGAAGGATCTCAACACGGCGCTTTGAGTGAGGAATTCAAACTAACTGTAACGTCGCCCTTGCCCAGGTTTCTAAGGCGATGGGCACTGCGGGCTCCAACAGCGGGCCCGGGGGATCGGGGACCGGCCAAAGGGGCAGCAGCCGACACGAGTAGCGGGTAGTGCGCACGGCTCGGCTAGGGGCGCATCGAGCCCGCGTGAGCGCGGGAGGGTCGCAGCTCCTCGCTAGGGACGCGCGGGGGACCCCAAAGAGCCTCCCTCCGGCCGGCCCGGGCCTCGGCTCCGCGCGCGGGGAAAAGAGCGCGGCAGTTGAAACCGTTACCACACTGGAGTTTTGAACTGGTTCAAACTTGGCGTTCGGCCCCGCCCCGCCCCCTCCGGCCCGGGAACTCCGAGACGGCGGTTCCCGCCAAGCGCTGCGAGCGCGCCGTCCCGCCAACCGACCGGTTCCCGCCACCCCTCCCTGTCTGCCTTCCGCCCGCGGACCGCACTTAGGGGTCCACGCGCTCCTCGCGCCCTTCCTGAAAGGCGCCGAGCCTTCAGTGAAAGAACAAAGAGCCTGCACGGCGCTTCCACTCTGCGGCCAAGCGGCCGCGTCCCTCGGCTCCCACACTCGCGCACGCGCACGCGCGCCACCGGCCCAGCCCGGCCGAGTCCCGCGGGCGCCTCTGCGTGGGGCTGGCTCGGCGCCTCGGCGCCCGGCGGGTCCTGTGATTGGACGGGAGCCCGCTCGCGTCCCGCCAATCGGGGCGGCGCTTGGTTGGACGGGGGGGCCAAATAAAAGCGATGGCGATTGGGCTGCCGGGTTTGGCGCTCGGTCCGGGAGCGTCCGACACCCACTGGGACGCAGAAGGCGGTGGAGCCCCGGCGGCGGCGGCGGCGGCGGCGGCGGCAGTAGTGGCAGCGCGCGGGAGCGGCGCGCGGGAGCGGCGCGGGCTGGGGCTCAGGTAACGCGCCGCTGTTGGGCGGCCCGCCGGCCGGCATGGCTCCGGAGCCCCGCGCGAGGCGGCGGCGGCGCCGGGACCTTCCCGCCGGGACCTTCTTTGCCCGTCCGGGTGTCGCCCTCAGCGGGCTCTCCCCGGGCGCCGCTTTTGCAGGCGGGGTGAGGGGACGCCCCTCGGAAGGGGGCCGTGAGTCAGGGCTGGCCCGCGCCACCCCGCGGGCGGGCAGTGCGGGACTCTCCGTAAACCCGGGGCGGGGGCTGGAGCGGGCGCCGCCGCGGGGGGCGTGCGGAGGGGTCTTCTCGCACGCCCGCCCCTCCGGAGGCGCGGGGCCGAGCCGGGGTGCCGGGGTGTCCGGGGCGGTCTGGCTGCCGGAGCCCAAGTCTCCTTTGTGTGGAGCGCCGGGTGGGACGGGACACACACAAGTTGGTGGGACCTCGCCGCCGAGTGAGCACTCAGACAAAGGACGGACTGTGTCTCAGGGGAGCTCGGCGTGAGGAAGGGGCAGTGACACTGGGGCCTGACAGCGGGCGGGAGAGGGGCGTGCGGGCGCGGGTGGGCGGGCTTGACCCCACGCCCCCTCCCCTCGGGCGCGCGGGCCGGCGGGGCCGCGGTGGCCGGGACGGCCATCGGGGACGGGACTCCGAGTGCCGCACCTGTGACATTTCCCCCAGAGCAGCCTGAAAACCCCGTGGCCGTGCCGGACTGCCTTTGCCTTCCCGTCTCGCTTTCTGTTAAGTTTGAGGGGAGGGTCGAGCTGTTCTCCCCTTTCTTGGTTTTGTTCGTTTGGTGGGCTTCCCGTCTAGTTCCCGCGTCGTGGTGCACCCCCTCCCTCCAACGACAGACAAGTCTGTGCCACGGGGTCACTTTTCGAAAACGAGAGGAATCGGGAAGCACGATATTTTGGGAAAACTTGGTGAACTCACGGCCAGCGAGTTACCACTTTCTAAGGAATCATGATTTAAAAAAAAAAAGAAATTACTAGCTGTTTTGGCCAAGTTGATCTGAGAATGGCGACAGGTGCTAACGAAATCAACTGTCATTTAGTCCGCGAGTATTCCCCCGAATCCCCGGGGGTTGAATGAGGACGAGATGGTAGTGATAGTTGATCAAAATAAAACGCTTGTGACAAATGTGTGTTTAGATGGTATGGTTAGCAGTTCTGTTTTATTAATTGGTCTTGTCTCCCAATGAACAATAGCCTGGGTGAGTCAGAAAAGATTGGACGCAGAAGTGTTTGTTGCCTAAGAAAGTGAATGTGTGCTGTCCACAGTTAAGCTAAACGTCCTTTGTTTATCAGTCAGAGTCTGTAAAATTTAAATTCGTTGGGACATAAAAATCTGTCATTGGTGTTTAAAAATATTTTACTACAAGGTTTACTTTCCTAGGTTTCAAAGGTCAAGAGTATAATTTCATGAAACAATCGAAAAAATCTTTAGTAAACACTAAAGCTGATACAGTTAAATGTAACCGGTATTTCTAGGGGTTTTGGAGTTTATTTTCCAATTCTCTTCATGAGCATTAGCAACTGTTTCATGTGTAGGAATAAAATGTGGAACAAATGACTAGTTTATTGATAATTTTATTTGCAAGAAAATGAAAGTATTTAAGATATATTTTATTTCCTTTTCATAGTCTCTAAAGTTAGGAATAGATAGGATTCTAGTCCAGGATAGAAGGAATCCTACTCTCTTTTTGGAGGTGTATTAGGGAACATAATATATGAAGTCCCAGAAACACTTAGGGAAATGCATTTTAAATTCTTATTGTTTTGTTAAAAGTAAATATATTCAAAGAAAAGGAGTTTAGAACCACATAGGCACTCTTCTGATTTGCATTGTTCTGTCTGATAAAGATTTACTGTGCACCTAATACCTTACGGTTTCATAAAAATGGAGACAAAGAAATGCAGTGTGAAAGTCTTTATTACATAGATTTGACAGAGTTGGACACAATTGAACAGACATTACAGGTGCTACCCTCGGTGCTGGATTGTTCAGTAATGTTTACATTTAGATTACTTGCCGATAATTATATATTAAAAAGTCCTGCAGATAATTTTGTCCATTGTTATGAAATGAGCTAGATATGCAGACTTTGGCAGAAATTTGGCTCTTTTAGGCCAAGAAATTAAAATTTTTCCCTTCTTGTGTATTCTGTATTTGATAATTACTGTCTTTATACTTGCCATGAGCTATTTTTTAAAAGTCTTTTTGGGGAATTGGTTTAAAAATTGCTTTAAACATTATTTCTGATTAAATTGAGAATGTATTTAGACAGTTAAACTAGCCGTGATTTAAAAAAAACAACAACAAACAACTCACTTGTGATTTAGTGTAGTTAGGCAAAAAAAAGTTCTGATGCTGTTATACCAGCTTTGCCTTGTATGCATATATAAGGCATTATCTTTGTGTTGATCACTTAAAAATTTTAGGGAAATTTCCTCAGGAATGTGAATTGATTTGTCTATTGGCCTAAATAAACAGTGATTAAGAAAGTTGATTTGCTTCTTAAAAACCAAGAGAAGGGAAAATTCTCTAAGGAGCTAATGCAATCTGGGGTCAATTAGAAATGATTTATGGATTTGCCTTGAAGTCTGTCAGTACAAACGATGAAAACGTTTTCTCTGAATTATGAAGGATTCTGTATGGTCAGGTGCAATCTCTAGTTTGGATGAGAGCATGAGTGGAGAGGAACAGCTCATTCAACTCAGAGGCAGGTTCAGGGTCAGATGATACCTTTACCCTGTAGAGGCCTTCCCTGAATTCTCAGGCACTCTTCTGTTCCACAGGGCTTTGTTCATACTTGTGTTATAGCATGTATCAAATTGGGTTGCGATCACTTGCTTATGCGGCCAGCTTCTTCACTACGCTCTGAAGTGCCTTACAGCAGAGGCTCTGTCCTGTTTTCTTCTGAACACCTGGTAGTTGCTAGAGAACAGGAGCTTAATAGTTGAATGAATGAAGAAAATAAGAAATGTAGAGAAATAATTTGACAAAGGAACTCACAAAGGAAAGAGGATATATTAATATTTGTGTTGTGAGGAACTTTAGAAGGTATGTTTTCTCCCTCTTGGAGAGGCAGTAATTACAAAGAAAAATGTGTCAAGATGAACAGGTTCCAAGGTTTCTGATACTTCTATTGATCTGTGATTGAAAATTGGATATTTTTAGGTGTGACTGTTGGTATTCATGTTTGGTATTTTGGGCAGCTAGAGAAAAGCTTGAGTCATCTGGATACTTAGCATATATAGTTTCTGCTTAATTTGACAATACTGATGATCCTTGTACAAAAGTATAAGGAGGGAAGAATGGTTGAGAATAGTAAACCTTTTAATTGCAAGGTGTCCAGTTATAATGAATGAGTTCTTTATTGGGGTAATTAATTTGAGGTAGGTTTTGAAGCTAAAATGGAAGGAAATAGTGCCTATCAGTGTAAATATGGATCATTTATTGCAATACTCATCATCATTTCTTTTAAAATGATGTGATAAATGTAGATTAACAAATCCAATAATCTTTCTAAAGGCATAGCTAATAAGTTTCTGAGATGGTTGCACTGTTCCATATTTTGCCATTGTTCCACACTTGGTGCAAAAATATGACAAAAACGAAGTGAAAAGAAGACATTAAAGTGCCTATATTTGCCAGTGCTTTATTCATTTGTTTGATTTTTATTGTAACATTCACATCAGATACTTTATTTTTAATTCTTGTAAAAACTACCCTGTATCCATCAACAGATGAATGGTATACACATACAATGGAATATGATTTAGCCACTAAAGAATGCAATTTTCATACATGCCACAACAAAGATGAACTCTGAAAACATTTTAAGTGAAATGAGGAAGACACAAAAGGAAAAAAATTGTAGAATAGGCCAATTCATAGAGACAGAGTGGAACAGAGGTTACCAGGGACTAAGGGAAGGGGGATGGGAGGTTAGTGTTCATTTGGGGTACAGAGTTTCTGTTTGGGATGATGAAAAAGTTTTGGACAGATATGATGGTTGGTGACATTTTGAATGTGTTTAATGTTACTGAATTGTACACTTACAAATTGTTAAAATGGTAAATGTTATGTCATGTATATTTTACAATAAAAAAAATTAAGAACTTAGTCTGAAAACTTGAACAGATAAGAAAATTGCTGTCTTGAGGGGCTAAGAGCTTACCAAGGATTATCTAGCTAGGAATTTGCACCCAGAGTCCATACTTGAATTCTGTTTGTCTTCCTATTATCTACTCCATGTTATCTGCTGATCTCCTGGATGATTAAAGTCACATGGGTTCCAAGATGATTCAAATCATGTTGGTTTGTTTGAATCAGTCAGAAAAGTTATATGTAAGAGTATATAACTAGTTTTTTGGGAGGTGCGAGCTGGTGCAAAAGATGATTGTGGATATCTTTCTTAGCCTGTAATGGTGTGCACTCTGAGTTGGTGGGGAGGACAGTATTTTTTCTTTTTTTAAATATTCTTACACAAGGACATGCTTGTTGATTTTTAGAGAAATGGGATGAGAGGGAGAGAGAGAGAGGGAGAGAAACACTGATGTGAGAGAGAAACGATAGGTTGCCTCTCATATGTACCCCCAATTGGGATCAAACCTGCAACGTAGGCATGTACCCTGCCCAGGGGTCAAACCCACAACCTTTCAGTTTACAGAGTGACGCTCCAACCAGCTGAGCCACACCAACCGGGGTGGGAGGACAGTGTTTTAAGAGCATGGTCTTTGGAGTTGCTTTGCTTGAGTTCCAGCTCCAGAGCTGTCAGGTTGCAGCCTAGGTAAGTTGTCCTTGATGTATAAGTTTCCCTGTCCATAAATTAATCATAATGACAGACAGTATTTAATCCAAAAGGTTGTTGAGAGGATTAAATGAATTACTGCTTGTGAAACCTTTAGCACTACACCTGGGACAAAGTGTTTGATAAATTATTTTTAGTTATTGTGCCAGTATTGTTTTATGAGTTGATGTGTATTCTCATTAACAGAACTAAATACT